TGTTGGTCGCACTTATCCATGACCACGTAAATGACCATAGCCTCAGAAATTTGGGCATCCGAGCTTAACGATGAGAGGGAACTATATAACGCGGATGCGTTGTCAATTAAGCAGCGGAGCTGTTGGGCATTTTCTGAGCCAGCTGGCTGTAGTTTAAAAATGGAAGCGGTCGTTTCGACGAAGATTAGCGCAGGCTTGTCATACCGATCCTTCAGCTTTTCCAAAGCCTTTGCATAATTTTCTCCCGTGACCGGGAAGGCTGCGACAGCTTCCAATGCAGGTCCCCTTAAACAAGAGATGGTTAAATTTGTCTATATTCGAGATTTGCTCACGGTTGCAGTTGCAGGAACGACGAGATGAAGTTTTTATAGTTCGTATGATTTCCGTTGAAGCTAGGCAGTGACAAAAAGTGACGAACTGGCACTTCCGTGGCGTGACTCCAAAGGTAGCGAAGATAACTCGAAAACTGTACCAGCGGCTGCAGTTTGCGAATAAAACGAAAACAACACTTCGTTGGGCGGAATAACGGAGCGAAGGAAACTGAGCGATCGACGACGAGCTTCAAGACCGGGCTACACGCACACACACCAACGACGAGACATGCGAAGAAGAATAGCGAATAGTTCCGTTGTGTGAACGTGTCGTTGGCGTTAGAAATTTGCGAGTAGTTGACTTTATTTGTATAATTATTATAAACTTGCGATGGTGCACTGGTGGGGTATCAGTGTTCACTATGAATGCGATTATTACGATGTTGAGTTGTGATGAGCGGGTCAAGCCAATGATTTGCGGGTGATAAGTCGACTATTGTTTATTAGTCAATAAATTGTTAATAATTTGTTTATACAAGCTCTACGTTGGGCGCCAAAATGTTTAATGCACAAAGCGTTTTTTGTGCTGCATGAGATATCAGGTTGGGAGGTGCATAAACTAATTTCGATTTATTAAACAAAGGCCAAAAGACAACCGTTTCAAGCAATCTAACATCAGCAACTGGCTTTCATTAACAGCAGCAGAACTAGAGAACAGAGATTTGGTAACTTCATGTTAATGAGCTTTTGTTTACATTTTATATTCAAAGAGAAACGGTTCGGGAGATGCGAATTTAAAGAGTTTGACCGAACAACCACCATAAACAAAAAAGTTCGGAAAAGATGAATTCAAAAGATAATAAAGCTGATATAGTTAATATAATTAAATAAGTAAATGGAAATACAATTTATTTTGTAGGGAAGATGCGAAAAAAATTAAGAAGATTAAGGCAAGAAAGGACAAAATGAAGCAGCTCCACAGCTCGCCTTGCCGATCTGAGAGATCTCGATGCTCCAGGTTCTTTCATGAACCGGACACCGGTCCACCCGTATTGAGTCATCCGAGTTCCTATTATAATAATAAATAATAGTTATAGCAATAATAATAAAAAATAATAGTTTTAAAAAAACACGCTTTTATAAATAACCAAACTAAAAAGAAGAAAATAATTTATAACTATAAACAAAATTATTCAGTTCAGAGCAAAAGAATATAATTATAAACAAGATCAATAATTCACAGTTAAGTTTATCAGGTATTTGGAAACCCTTGAAAATAGTGTTTAAGATTCCGTTACATACATATATACATACATACATACCGAACTAATAAAAGCGTAGTAAATAACAGGTACTTGGCGCGAGATACTACCGTGTCTCCGGATGCACCCTACGCTTTTAAATCTGAATTTAGTGAATTTAGTCTTGTTTATAATTATATACTATTGGTCTGAATTTAATAATTTTGTTAGTAATTATAAATTATTTTCTTCTTTTTAGTTTGGTTATTTATAAAAACGTGTTTTTATACCCTTGCAGGGTATTATAATTTCAGTCAGAAGTTTGCAACGCAGTGAAGGAGGCACCTCCGACTATATATAAAGTATATATATTCTTGATCAGGATCAACAGCCGAGTCGATCTAGCCATGTCCGTCTGTCCTTCTGTCCGTCTGTCCGTTTCTACGCAAACTAGTCTCTTAGTTTTGAAGCTATCTGAATGAAACTTTGTAGTTAGCTTTCTATATACTCTCACTCGTATATATGTCGGAACGGGCCGGATCGGACGACTATATCATAAAGCTGCCATAGGAATGATCGGAAAATTTTTACAAAAAAAATTGTAACATTTTCAGTTTTCAATAGAATTGCATCAAATTTGAGATACAGCCATTTTACTATGCTCTACAATTTTGCATAAAATTTTATGAAAATCGGACTACTATACCATATAGCTTCCATAGGAACAATCGAGAAATTAATACAATTAAATTTATAACTTTTTCAGTTTTCAGCAGATTTTCATTAAATTTCAGATATAGCCATTTTATATGTCTTAAATTTTGTTGCAAATTTTATGAAAATCGGACGACTATATCACATTGGTGCCATACAATCGATCATTAGATGTGGACCAAAAATGCAAATCTATGAATGTAAAACTGAAAATATAATATGTATAGGTGAATGAAATGAAAGCAGGTATTACTTCATTGTTTTTAACACAAATATATATAATTTATATTGTATGGATTCCAATTTATTGAAGTTCTATCTGCAAGGGTATATAAACTTCGGTGTGCCGAAGTTAGCTTCCTTTCTTGTTTTTAAATATTATTTATTTTCTAATTTTTAGTGTGGTTAACAGTTGCAGATAGAAATTCTATGACTAGGAATCCATACCATATAAATTATATATATTTGTGTTCATTTCATTCACTTATACATATTATATTTGCAGCTTTACATTCACAGATTTGCATTTTTCTTCTACATCAAACGATCGTTTGTATGGCACCTATATGATATAGTCGTCCAATTTTCATAAAATTTTACACAAAATTGAAGAGTACAATAAAATGGCTATATTTTAAATTTGATCCAATTCTATTGAAAACTAAAAATGTTAAATTTTTTTTGTAAAAATTTTCCGATCATTCCTATGGCAGGAGAGAGTATATAGAAGGCTAACTCCAAAGTTTCATTCAGATAGCTTCAAAACTGAGAGACTAGTTTGCGTAAAACAGACACAAGGACAGACGGACATGGGTAGATCGACTCGGCTGTTGATCCTGATCAAGAATATATATACTTTATATGGTCGGAGGTGCCTCCTTCCCTGTGTTGCAAACTTCTGACTGAAATTATAATACCCTGCAAGGGTATAATGACCATATTTCGTGACACAAAAATCTTTTCACAGTTATTAGTTTTACTTGATTTATTTTAGACTTAAGACCTTTATGTTCTTTTTTTTTTTAAAATGTAAAAGGGGACTTTTTTTAAGCCCATGGCGTCACAAAGTTTCCAAAAAACTTTACATTTATCTACAGTTCTTCTGCCATTTGCCTAAATTTTAAGAAAATGGAGAATATCCTAAAAAAAACCGACGTAGCTCAAAGAAAAATTGTCCTTCATCTGCACAATGAAGTCAAATCGTATGGCGAAATAGCCAAAACGATGGAACTAAGCCGATTTTCCATTAGGAGCATCGCTACGATGGAGTCTAAAGCTTGGAGAGCGCACCTAAATCTGGGCGTCCCAAGGCTTTAAGTCACCGGGAACGCAACGCGGTGATCCGAAAGGTCAAAGTGGACTCCAAAACATCATCCTCCCAGAACGCCGCTGAAGTTAAAACCAAGTTTGGGAAGGATATGATATTTATCCGATGATCGTAAAAAGTGCCCTATACGAAACCAACTTACATTGCCGAGCTGCTAGGCGAAAGCCGTTCATATCTGATATCAATAAAAAAACGCGTTTGACCTATACTAAAAAGTATCTGAACAAGCCAATTGAATTTTGTGATCAGGTACTCTTTTCGGAAGAAACCAAAATTAATATTTATCCCTCTGATGGCCGCCAGCACGTATAGAGAAAACCGAACACTGAGTTGGATAAAAGTAACTTGGCACAAAAGTCAAACCCGGTGGCTGAGGCGTGATGGTATGGGGATGCATATCATCCACTGGTGTCGGTAACCTGGTGTTCATCGGAGGTATCATGGATAAAGTATATTACCTCAATATTTTTAAAGAAAACTTACAAAAAAAAACCCTCAAAGTTCAAAATGCAAAAGTTCGTCACATTTATGCAGGACAATGATCTGAAGCAATCTGCTCACTATATTGCTCCCTCACTATAAAGCACATGTACTGCCATATCCACCACAGTCACCGGACCTAAATCCGATCGAGCATTTGTGGGAGGAACTCGATAGTCGAATGGAAAAACACATTTCATCAAAGAATTGCCTTATAAAGGGATTATTGGAGAAATGGAAGAATATTTTAGCAGAAGTTACTAAAAAATTGGTGCATTCTATGCAGACGTGATTAAACAGAAAAGACTACCGACGAAATATTATTTTAAATAAAAAAATAAAAAATTAGATTAAGTGTGCCAAGACTTTTGTTTCACGAAATTTGTTGTTTTTGTTTAAATTTAAATAGTTTTTAGTACGTTAATAAAAAAAAACAAAAAATATGGTGCCGACGGCTGCCGTCTAGACTACCGCCGTAACTGTATCGTGGGCAGAGCGTCGCAGTAGAAGTCGCAGTCGGCAGAGCGTCTCCTCGGTAGAAGTCGCAGTCGGCGCGTTGACGACGGTCGATGACAGTGGCCTATTGATGACATGCGGTACTGCAGGGTACAAACATACATATATACATACATCCCGAACTAATAAAAGCGTGTTAAAAAAACGTCTGGGAGAGATGTCCAAGGGAGGCGACAAACATACGAAATCATAAACTCATTACCGACCTCCTATAAAGAATCTGTCCCCTTTGGCATAAATTTGCAATAATTTGTCAAATGAATTGGCATTTACTAGCACAGAATCACATCATTTCCTCTATACCCAAATCAAATATTTATTTAATTTTTTTTTCATTGAAAATGGATTACCTATTTTTGCAAAACAAACTATTACATAAAAATATCAAATCTACCAAACTAACAACACAAATATTTTGAAATAAACGTCAATAAATGGCAGCGTTTTAATAAAACCAAAAACAGGAACTTTACGATCACACTGATTTGAAAGTGTTACAGCTATGATATTATCTTCCACTTATGATTAGTTTCCAATTGCAATTCTTCGTTTTCTGGACCTATAATACACTTTCCAAAATTTTTGGGCGTTTTCTTTAAATATTTCTGAACTGTATCATGTATCTCATCGACAGTTACAGAGAGCATTCGTGATCGATAGTTTTCAAACATATCCTGCGATACCGCATACAATAAGTAATCAATACCAATATTTCCAGGTGCTATCGGGGAGTCCAACTGCTGCAGAACACCCAGTTTGGCTTCAAACAAAGCTTCTTGATCAATATTTTTTTCCAAGCGTGTCCACTCATAAGTTTTGTCGAAAGTATCTAGTGTTTTGATTGAATGTGGGTCCCGGTAACTATAAAAGCTAAAAATACCGTCTGAACTTATCTTTGCACCCGCTCCATAAGCTCCGTTTTTTTCACGGACAACAGGTAGCAGGTACTTGGCTGAAAGTAGCTTCGCTAAAACGCGCAATTTAGGATGGTCCTGATGCAAATACGGAGCTGCAAAAAAGGCTTTAGCGCAGTAATTAACCGGTATATTCAGGATATAGTGCTGACAGCTTGGGTTTAATAAATTAATTGAATGGCTTTCTTTAGAGTTATCTAGACTTGGTAAAGTTTCCAAGAAATTTCTATAGTGTTGCAATGCAGTCGCCAAGTAAGATTCCGTAGTGTTAATAGCTACTTGGATATTATTCTTCAAAAATAGTTTTTTTCCTATTGATTTTAACGTTTTGCAGATGTCAACCGTATTATTGTCTTGTACCAGAGTTTTCATAAAGTCTATATGATCTATTCCAAATAAACGGGACTTAAGATTACTGGCATCAGTAACCAATGCACTTGCTCCTAACATAGCATATACATGACCAGAACTAGCAACTCCAACTGATATATTGGATATGTAATTTTCAATAAGCATTTTAAGACGGTCCGTATCCGTAAAATCAAAGTTTAGCAATAACTCTTGACAGAGGTAAAAAAGTTCTGGAGCATTTTTATCAAGTGCATGTGTGTCCATCAATACGCTGATTTTATAACTCTTTGCATCTCTTATATTTTCGATAAAATTCAACTTAAAATCGAATCCAGAGGTTTTTGACAGAACTAGCTTATCAAACTCACGAAAATCATACTTAGAAGTGCCCATGTTGTTAATAACAGTACAAAACAGAGGCAAAAGCTGAATCTCTTCTTGACTTAAACTTGTTGCATTAAACAAGCACTTTAAATACGTAATCTCGTTTGACGAAACTTTGCATATTTGAGTATGTACATTTTGAATCGTTTCTACAATCAATTTTGGCCACTTTGGTGGCTCGCTTACATCATTGATGGTCAGACATGGTAAAATTTCCGTGTTCGGTTTAACCTTTTGAAAAGCGTCCAGCTCCAAACCAGTCTGATAAATGTTTTGGAACTTTTCTTTGTCTAGGACAGCAACTATTTGTCTTAGCATCTCTGACTCAGCCCGTTTAAAGTTTTCTTGATATAATGCATCAGGGGACATAGTAAGTGTAAGTCTATGTGTATTATTGGCGAAATATTGTTGAATTTTATCTTGAAAATATGTCTTGTTTTTTCTTAAGCTGGTTCGAAGACTTGATATCATTTCTGATACTCGAAGATTACTCACTATATCGCCATTATTGTTCCACAGGGCAGTAGAATTAAACAGCAAAGCGTTTCCAAAATGCGGGCTCTGATGCTTTAAAGATAACTCGAGACTATGCAAAATGCTTTCTACATGCTGGGACTCAAACCCATTTTCTATGGAATGAGTTATGGTTTGATCGAATATCTCGCAGAATTTTGTAAAATCTTCCACTCTTAAGTCTTGTAATCCAACGACGAAAGCTGTGTCTTTTGTATCTGATGAGTATCCCGTACTTCTATTGTAACCCCCGGAGAAATTTGGTTCTATTAGGCTCTTGTAAAAAGGTGAGTTGGGTCCACGGATTAATACCTCCGAAAGGACGTTTAACTCGAAACTCTCCTGTAAGTTGGTCACATCGCACATTAACAGCGCTATGGCTATTTGGTTCTGTCGGTCAATAGTTGCGCCCATACTGTCCAATCTACTGGAAATATGTACGTTGCGCGGTTGTTGCCATCGCTGTTGTTGAGGTATTTGACTGTATGAGTTGTCAATACAGGTTCTTTCTGACAAATACTCTTTATCGAGAAGCCAGAGTGTTTTAGTCAAATCAAAAGATCCGTAAGAGTAAATACGAGAGTTACTTGGATGATAATATTTTTGATGGAACTCAATTAAATCTTCGTGCGTTAATTTGGGTATTTCCAATGGATTTCCTCCAGACACGTATCCATATGTGTGATCAGGAAGCATATTGTTTAGCAGATTCTGACTAAAAACCTGCGAGTTTTCAGAAAATGCGCCTTTCATTTCGTTATAAACTACTCCTTTAATAATAAGCTTGGAATTGCAATCATGTATGTCTTCATTCTCAAGTCTCCAGCCCTCTTGAAGGAAATCCAAATACAAAAGATTTGGTCTGTAAAACATAAAAATTAAACATTTATCGTCAAATACAATGATGCCTTACCTGAATACAGCGTCTAAGTAAATTCGCTGCAAATTTCTGAAATCAGTTTCATTCATGGTCGAAAACGGATATATGGTATAATCTGGACCGGTCATTGCATTCATAAATGTCGCTACAGAGCGGTTAAGCATTTTAAAAAATGGATCCCTAACGGGATAGTTTTTGGAGCCGCATAGCACCAAATGCTCTAGTATATGGGGCAACCCAGTGGAATCAAAGGGAGTTGTTCGAAAATTTATTGAAAATACGTTGTTTGCATCGTTTCTATCGATGTGCCATAGTTCCGTTCCTGTTCTCTGATGCCGCAAAGTATAAGACGTAAGCTCAAAATCAGAAATGTGCTCCACATGTTCGCATAGGAACCCATTATATATTTTTCCTTCTGCATACTTATGTTCATGATGGTGGATTAAATTTGGTACGTCACCTTGTGTGTGGGAAGCTCCAAACTTCTTATTTGTTGACACAAACTTGCAATTTTTATTTACTTGCGACCGCCAGATATTGGGATGCGCGTTTCCCAACCATTTTAATCGCGATAACATAGTAGTGTTTATAAATGAAAAACGTACAAGGATGATTTCGTATATGTCACCAGTTGTCTGAAGATTTTTTACTTAAATCGCTAAAAAAAGGAACACGATTTAATAAAAGTTATAACATCCGAAAGCACAATACATATTTCTGTTCGCTTAACAGTTATCAAAAACTAAGATTTTTAAGTAAAAACAAATATGTACAATAAAAACGTAAAAGCTACAAATGTAAAATTACAAGAACAACTTACCAATGATATGATTTATAACTTTAATTTTTATCCATACAAATTTGATGTAACAAACATGTCAATATGAAGGCATTGCCTTCAGGCAATAGAGATGGAGAAACTTCTATGCGAACATCGATGACATCGATGTTTTCGAAACATCGGCAACATCGATGTTTTTCCAATACTTCTGCGTTCCAGCTTCACCGTGCGAATCTTAAAGAGTTTTCAGCTGGACAACTTATAAGTGAGCGTCGTACGCGGCTATCATCGACCGTTGTCGATAAGCTCCTCTTCAACAAAAACAAACATGTAAATAATAGGAAAATATATATAGCAGAGTTCGGGATAGTAAGTAAATAATAGGAAAATATATATAGCAAAGTTCGGGATAGTAAGTAAGCATAGTACAGTAGGGATAGTAAGTAAGGAGTATTATAAGCAATAGTATAGTAGGGATAGCACAATATCTTAAAGAACTATTATTTTCTTTGGACCATGTATATATTGAAATAATGATATTAAATTTGTTTTTGCTTTTAGTTTTTATTTACAAACTAAGGACAATATACCAAAGTGGAACATGAATATCATGAATAATTTTTTTAAAATTTGTTTTTTGTTTTCTTATTTATTTAATATGTGATTAATAAACTGGATATTTTTTGTTGAAAATTTGACTTTTAATTTTTTTAAATTACAAATTAAAATAAAGTTAGAATACACTAAAATAACTGCTAATTTTTTTATTTAAAACATCGATGTTTCATCGATGATTTTCGCCAATATCGTCGATGTCCGTGAACATCGATGTTTCTCCACCTCTAGAAGGCAACCAGTAAAGGTGCAAAAACATCGATGTTTCTGTGCCGCCAGTACCAACAGAAAAAACGAAGGAATGGTACATAAGAGATCAGAATTTTTCCAAAATGGTACATATATAATAAAAAAAAATAAACAGGGCAAACTTTATCTGACCGCAGGATGCGCCTTACCTCGGAAATAGGTAATTAACTAAAATTTATCAACAAAAATAACACTTTTGGAATGTTTAAGAACTTTATAAGAAATAATCTTAGTTGTTAGTTTTCTTATTTCATTTTATGAGTCCAAGTGTTTGTACAACCCAAAGTGTGTTTTTCATTGATTGAAAAAATATTATTTCAATTTTTTAAAATTTCATTTTTAATTTTTCATTGATGTTTTGGGTGAATAACATCGACAACATCGATGTCTATACGACTGAATTACTGAAAATATCTGATATATAGCGATACTTAGCCGATATTTTCAACCATATGGGAAACGATCCAAAAAGCTGATTTCAAAAGTTTTAATGGTCTGCAATGAAGCAAGAAAGCTGTTTTGTATTTTCATCAATATAAAATTGTACACAAAATTGTAGAATAATATTAAATGGCAACATCTCAAATTTGATGAAAATCTGTTAAAAACTAAAAAAGTTATAATTTTTAATTGTATTAATTTCTCGATCGTTCCAATGGGAGCTATATGCTATAGTAGTCGAATTTTCATAAAATTTTACTCAATATTGTAGAATATTGTAATATAATATTTATATCACAAATTTAATAAAAATCAATTGGAAACTTAAAAAGTTATACATTTATATGTATCTATACTATTATATAAAGAGGAAAGGTTTGTTTGTTTGTTTGTTTGTATGAATTGAATAGGCTCCGAAAGTACTTGGCAGATTTGAAAAATTCTTTCACTGTTGGAAAGCTACATCATTCCTGAGTGACATAGGCTATACTTCATTTTTTAAAAAAATAGGCATCCTTACTAAAATTAAGATAACGTAATCCAAGGTGTTTAAAAAAAAAACAAAAAACTACCTTACATCTACCGCCCTCTACAGGCAGCCAAAGCATTTCCTGTCAAACATTCAAAACATATTGAAATAAGGAATTGGAGATAAAAATTTTATTTTTTTGTTCAGGTTCAGTAAGAAACGAAGTCATGCCACCCAAGAAGTCGAGTTTGGGTCGTCGTAATCGTAATACAGAAGCAAAAAGACGTAAGATTACGAATATAACTGACGAAGAACGGGCCTCCATCCGAGAGACTGAGCTGCTGAGAGCAATGCAGATGCACAACGCGGAATCAGCAGAAAGACGAGCAGATAGGCTTGAGAGAAAACGATTAAGAGTTAGACAGTTGCGTTCTGCAGCAATCGATTTGATTCACTCTCAAAATAATGAACGCGACAGGGCAAGGGTAGCTGAAGCGCGTTTACAGCTTGCAGAAGATCAGATATAATCCAACTATTGATTACAGCTCGAATCGAATGTCGTTATTGGCCGGATGCATCAGATCTGCATATACTGTCAGGCCTCTTAGATTGAATCAGACGAAACTTCGGTCCGAGGAATATATCCATTTGCGGGATGCTGTGATGAATGCTGCAACTCTCTTGAAGGATGGCAAAACTGCTCATTCTACTTTTAAACTTCCACTATCCGTCAATCTTGAACAACAATCTACATGTTCAATACGCAAAAATGGACCTATTGGTAAATTACTACAAGACGCCTCATTGATTATGTGGGATGAATGCACGATGAGCCATAGAGCACATATAAAGGCCGTGAACAGAACCTTACAGGATCTAAGGAACTCCTCTGCAGTCATGGGAGGGATTACTTTTGTATTTGCTGGAGATTTTCGACAGACTCTCCCCGTTATTAACAGAGGCACGCGAGCAGATATCATCAAGGCATGCTTGAAATCGTCTCCCATATGGACTACGATTGAAACATTAAAATTAAGGACAAATATGAGAGCTCATCTTCATGGAATCACTGATAGCGATTTCCCACAGCAACTGCTAAAACTTGGGGAAGGAATTTTTCCAACTCCAAATTTAAGCGGTCATTGTGACATTCTTCTGGATGAGTCTCTAGGCCAAATACTCCATAATTTGGAAAATTTAATAGATTCTGTATACCCTGATATCGAGAATTTGCACGAAAGAGACTTCCATTGGCTGTGTTCTCGGGCTATAGTATCACCTAAGAATGATACTGTCAATGAATTAAATAATCTGATTGTTCAAAAAGTCCCCGGCCAAACAAAAACATACAAATCGATCGACACTGTAACGAATATTGAAGATGCAGTCCATTATCCACAGGAATTTTTAAATTCGTTGAACCCTTCTGGACTGCCACCCCATGAATTGACGTAAAAAATCGGAACCCCAATCATGCTTTTAAGAAATTTAAACCCTCCGAGCATGTGTAATGGGACGAGGCTGCTTATTAAGGAGTTAAAGGACAATTTAATAGTAGCAACTATTATCACTGGCCCAGCAAGTGGTCAACTAGCTCATATACCGAGGATACCGATGATCCCAACTGATCTGCCAATCCTATTTAAACGGCTTCAATTTCCGGTAAAAACATCTTTCGCATTAACAATTAACAAGTCCCAAGGCCAAACCTTCGAATTAGTAGGGATCGATCTGAGAAATAAATGTTTTACTCATGGTCAACTGTATGTTGGTCTATCGTGAGTCGGAGATCCTGAAAATCAATTTATTTTGCTGCCACAAAATAAAACAACATCAAATATTGTTTACAGAGAAGCTCTAACAAAATAAATGTATTTTCTTTTAGGGTTATGACCTCAATAATTAAAAAAAAAAAAAAAAAGGATGAATATGTGTCATATTATTAATATTATTATGAATGTGTTAAAATTGACAAATCTAAATGTAATGTTTAATGCCCGTGCGAAGCCGGGACGGGCCGCTAGTAGTATATATATATAGTATAGTGATTGAGAGTTTAGAGAAGATTAACTTCAAAATTTCATTCAGATAGCTTAAAAACTGATGGACTAGAAACGGACAGATGGACATGCCTATATAATTTATATAGTCGGAGGTGATTCCTTCACTACGTTGCAAACTTCTGACTGAAAATATAATACCCTGCACACGAATAAAAAAAAAAAGTTGCGCTGGCATTTCAGTAATTAAGTTGACATCAGAAATCCAGAAATTTTTTAAACTTATTATCAGTAAAACCAGAAGGCTTTAAAGCTTTAAGTCTGCTGCTTAAATAACATCAGAATTAAGTTATGGAAAAAACTATGTATAAAAAAAACTGAGCAAAAGAAGGTAAGAACTTTCTGATTTGCGTTTGCTCAATCAGCTAAACGTTACGAAAGAAATTAAAATGTATTTCCGGATCAATAATCCTGCCATGCTAGACATAAGATCTAAAATTTGTTAGATTTATCTAAATTGTAAGATGAACATGAAATAGAAATGTTTACTTGGGGGAGATAAGCCGGTCGCTAGACCGCCGGGAATAGGCTCCGGCCCGCCGGAGATGGGTGATGCCCTGAGATGATCAGGAGGCATCACAGGATGGGTCCACGATTATTTTTTTGTTTACATATTATCTCCGTAACTGGTGATGTTAGTTTTGTTTTTGTATCGTGGTGCGGACTGCGGGCAATACGATACAATTACGAATATAGTCCCTTCGCCAGTCAAAGCGCTCGGGTTTTGCTTCAGTACGTAATACGTATTCGTTTTTCGTAGTGAAAGGTTGTGTGCGGACAAAAGTTTGCCAAACATTAACCCTTATGCAATATGACATTTAAAAAGAAAATCTATTTTAAGCTTAGAATATATTTTTGAATTAAGAACTTGGAAAAAAAGGCTCGCAACGCAAACAAAAAAAATGCCTCATTTGCAATTCAAAATTTTTATAAAATACTATGTAAAAAAATGTTCTACTAGTTTTATTATAAAATGAAATTTATTGTCCCATACATCATCTAAGGGTTAATCATCACATTCTATTGTTGTCCCACTCGCACTTACTATGTTGAGCCCCTTACATTTGCACTCATTGCTCTAATTGAAGAGGTACCAGAGTTTTCCGACGGGACTACCTTGTATAATTGTATCATGGCGGGCATTGGGTCAAACCAAAGACTATATAGCTTACAAGATGCCTCACGATCTTACATTCGTTTTGCAATATGAGGCAAATTTTTTTCTTCAAACGAAAATGGCACTCTCCCTGCTCTCACCCAATCGAGAGCGTAAAATTCTAAAAATGGAGGCGTTTGCATGTAT